GTCAGAACACATTACTAGAGCCTTTGTTTTTACACGACAGAAATATTTTGAATTTGGGGAAAAACCTAATAAACTACTGGCAAGACAATTGAGGAAAATTGAAAGTGATCGCACAATTAACAAAATTAAATCAGAAAATGGGGAAATCTTAACCTCTCACACAGACATTAATCATAGATTTAAACAGTTTTATGAATCATTGTACTCTTCCAAGGCTGTAAAAGATCACTTAAGTATACAAAAGTTTTTAGATAATTGTAACCTCCCAACTTTAACTCAAGAAGATGTGAGCTTTCTTAATGCAAACCTCTCATGCATAGATATTCAGGCTGCTATTAAAGCATTAAAAAGTGGTAAAACGGCTGGTCCCGACGGATACCCTGGGGAATTCTATAAAGAATTTGGTGACATTCTGTCACCGTATTTGTTAAAAATGTACACCCAAGCAAATGCAGATAACATCTTACCGCCTACGATAAGAGAGGCCACTATAATACTAATACCAAAAAAAGATAAGGATCCTGAGGAAGTGGGTAATTACAGACCAATATCACTGTTGACCTATGATCAAAAGATACTAGCCAAAATCCTTGCTAATAGATTGAGTTTAGTAATTGATAAATTAATTAATTCCGATCAGACCGGATTTATACCAAAGAGACATTCTTTCTTTAATTTACGACGCCTCTATAATGTGATCTATTCTCAGAGGGAGGAATCTTCTGACCTGGCTGTCCTTTCCCTCGACGCCGAAAAGGCCTTTGACCAAATAGAATGGCCTTACCTCTTTGCGACTCTGGAAAGATATGATCTTGGTGAACATTTCGAAAAATGGTTAAAAATCCTTTATCATAAACCTTGTGCTAGAATTGTCACGAATAAGACACTATCTCCTGCATTCCAGTTATATAGGGGCACCAGACAAGGCTGCTTGTTGTCACCTTTACTTTTTGCATTAGCCATAGAACCACTGGCACAATCAATTCGTGCCAACCCCCTTATACAGGGATATATCAC